AAGGCCAGACTGGGAGGGGCCCTAGGCAACCTGGTCTAGTGGGTTACAACCTCATGGCAGGGGGTTGTAACTGGATGGGCTTTAAGGTCCCTTTCAGCCCAAGACATTCTATGATACTATGATCTCAGATCCTCTGACCTCATGCACTGGCCTTTAATGAGAGAAGGAAAACAGATTTAAGATGCAATACATGCTTGCTGGGGAGCAAGGAAGGGAGAATTAGCAAGAAAATGTTTTGCGTGAGTTTCTGCCCTGCTTTAGGAGCCTTTGCAGCCCTGTGCAGTTAAATCTGTCTCCTGCTTTCCCCACCTGGCACATCTCCCTCAGGACAGTGCCAGAGTAGGAAGAGATAGAGCACAAGTAATTAGTTAAAACATCCCCAACTGCTCTGCTTGAGGGGGCTCAAAAAGTGCACCCCAAAAAGGTGGATCTTCCTAAGAGAAAAGCCTTCAGTGTGACACAACACACATTTTGTACAATTGTACAGATAGGCTTTAAGCACGAATACAATCTCTATTGTGATATATGCATGAATTTGCACTTCTAAAAACAAGCAGCCTGACAGCAACCCATGCTTAAATCCTAGCAGCTCTCTCCATTCACACACAGAAAAGCACCTGGGCCTGTACTTCCTAATTCTAGCAATGCCACCCAAATCTCTGGATCCTCCGCGTGAGGAATACGCGCTGCCCACTTCATGAGGACAACAGATCCCTGCAGATACCCAAATATAATGTACTGTATATCAGTATAACACACAACAAAGTACCCCGTGCTCCCCGTGGGGTCCTGACCGCCCCGTTAGCCCTGTGAGGGGTCTGCTCTCAGCAGGCAGAGCCCTCCTGGGCCCGGCGGGAGCTGGACAGGGCCCAAGCGCGAGGCGCATCGTCTCCAAGATACAGTGGCTTGGGGCAGCTTGTCCCAGACAAAGAGCATTATAAGGGAACCACTGCTGGAAATTTCCATCCCTTTGTTGGGTGGATGCTGTGTAAATAAATGCATTCCTAAGATTTTTCATAATCCCGGAAAGGCCCGTAAAAGAAGCTCTACAGCCTGTCAAATCGCTAACGTTCATAAATATTATTCCTCTGCCGCTGAGCACACGATGTACAATGGCACAGAAGTGAATGCAAGAAACGTATGCCAAAAGCTTTCTAAGGAGAAGTCTGTGTGTTTGGATACTGCGTGTACAGATATTTCTTCTGTTTTGTCCCTATTGCAGCTCGGATTTGTGAATCGCTCGCCTTAGTTCTAAACACTTCTTACCTGACAGGCAATGTTGGCAGAAGCATTTAGCTCCCTATGCCTGGTGTGATGTGCAGGTGCTTTGGAAACATTTATAAATTAGTACGCGGATGTAAACGTGTAAGCAACCTCTTAACTCCACTCTCCTGTTTTCCCTTCTGTCTGAATCTTATTTTAAAAACAGATGATTCAGGAAGATCTTCTTACAGCAACAGTGCCCCATTCACTCATCATGTACAAACAGATAGACAAGGTATTCTGTTCATCCAGTGTGCTGGTAGCATAAACACGGGACTTACTTGCACAGCAGAGAGCAGCAGCGGCAGTCAGCAAAGTGAGATCTTCCCCAAATAAGCCAGCAGCTTCTCCCACTAACTCTGCCCTCTCACACTCAGTTAATCTGGATTTCTAAGCTGACCTCTGTGCTTAATGTAGCACAGATTCTATAAAAATTTAGAACAGAATCTGACTTTCAGTTTGCCAAGACAACATTTATTGCCTTTCTCCTTCATTTCTGAACGTGCTCTGACATTTATCTAATGCTTAGGTTTTCCCAACAGTGACCCTTGCTTTCTTTAGGATGAAGTTTTCAATTTTGGAAATCACATCCCCTACTAAAACAGATCTGTTGGAAAAATACTGAAACAATATAGAAATAATACTTTTTTTTTCACTACTTTTCATTTCTAGATCTCAAAATCCTAGACAATAGAGAGCATTTAATACATAAATTGATAAAACATGAAATGTGCTTTTTCAGTGTTTGTCTTTTATTTGCCCAGAATGCATTGTTACTATTTATTTCCTACATATGCTATTTTTCAAGTTGAAAATATATTTAAAAAAATACAGTGAAACCAGCCTAGAAGCCAAACCAAAACAACGCCCCAAACAGCACTGTCTCGGTAACGTAAACCTGCTTTTGGCCAGCAAAGTCCTTAACACTCTTCTGTTTCGACACTGTCACAGCATCTCCAGCTCTGCAGTGCTCATCTGATAGGCAAATTTTTAGGAACCTCAATACTCACAATTTGGGGGCTGCTCTGCCCAAGGTTGTCAGTTTCCAGGACGAAGGAGCCTGCTTCAGCCTTTTCTCAAAGAAAAATTATTATGGTAATTGTCTCTCTCAAACTGGAAGCGATTGTAAAAGCTTATTACTGTATTTTAATATAAAATACTGTTGACCAAGGGCAGCAAACTTTAAAACCAATGAATAATAAACTGCGATCCCAGAGACCAAAGACCAGTAACTTATCTGCTGCACAAACAACCACACAAATCCCTCACATTTATTTTTTCCAGGCTTTCAACTTTGATTAATAACATGGCAAAAGCACACAAGTCTCAACCATATTAACCACAGCTATATTTTCAGCCCTACTGACACGAATGCTTTAATAAAATAAAAGGAAAAGGAAAACAGAAGAGGTGTTTCATTAGGACATGAGGATTACTAAAACCACTGTGTGGAGCATTTGTCAGGAGGTGGCACGGGAAGAGTTATTACTTACATTTTAGCGTGTCTCTAGGACGCAGAGCCAGAGGCTCCCTCGGTGAGATATGTTTGCTTTGGAAAAATATGAAGTAATCAGGCTGCCCAAGCTCTTCTAGCTGACACATTTTTAATACCAAAATGCAAACCGAGCTAAGAAGTTTGCAGGAAACACTACAGGGAAAACTGTTTTTCCAGTTTGGTTAGGAAGCCCAGCAACACTGAAGTGGTGCGAGGCTCAGAAGTTCTCAGATTAACCTGCCAGTTCTTTTTACAGACAGGCAGCTGGATGTAAAAATATACAAAGCATACATATATGAAGCATGGTTAAAATAATACACCAAGATGCAAACCCCCACAAATCTGTACTTGTGTCTGCTTACAGAAGCTTACAACCTAAATGAAAAGCATTTATTAAAACACACCAAAAAATGGTTGATGTGATCAGGAAACCAGTGTTGTGCCAATAAAATTGCAGCTTCGAAACAAATCCAAAGAATAATGCTAAATGCAGAGTGCTTGCATTTTAACATCTGTACTTTCATTGTTGTGTGAGACTGGTACTGTAGTTACATCTCTCCCAGTCTCCTCACTGGCTGTACAAACGACAGGGGTATTCCATAAATGAGTTTCTAAATTCAGTGAATTAAAAGCATTTTACAAGCAATAAAAAATAAACAATATCGGGCTGAGCATGTCATTTGACTTTTTCATTCTGCATCTACCTGTCCACACTCTTGCTCTAGCAGCACATTTATAATGATGCCTTTGCCAACAGTTCCAAGCTTTTAAAATCAGGATAACATGCAATGCTGGTCACAGATTTTCTATTTCTAAACCACTAACAGGAAGACAGCCACCCTCCAAAATAGGGGAAGTAGAACAAAGAGATCCAGGCATGTAACACAGTAACAGTGACCCTGAAATAACTGCTCAGGATGGCACCCAAATATGATAGTAAAGGACGCATTAGAAACACCTCGGCACCGCAGACGGGATGCGGCAGCTTCGCAAAGAAAAGGGCAGACCAATAACAAATACCTTGTCACACTTTCATCCTGAGATGAAAGCATCGTTTCTGCTTTGACCTTTTTTAGAATCTGTAACACACAACACCTGGGGCAGCCGAGATACAAGGGAACGGGGAAGGGGCACGCTGCAGCTTATTCCTACCCACCAGCAAGTGACAAAACGCATAGAAAATCTCTAAGCTGCACCAGAGAAAGCAAGAATCTATGCACAGCCCTACATGTGAGCTTCATTAACAAAGATATTTTTTTCCCACTTGAATTGCACACATGTGAGTGTAAACCATTTCTGCACGCCCCCACTACCCGCTCTGACATCGGGATTTTGGCTGTCCCGGGCTTGGCTGTCACTAAGACAAACATATTTCACCACAACTTTTTTCATTCAAAAAGAGGCAAACTGGATTATAGCAAATAACCTTTAAGATAATTAACTGACAATGCTGCAACTAGCATAAAATCTTCCTTCAGGCGACCCCTAATTTAAGTATTACTGGCACAAAGTGGAGACAGATTGCGCATCACCACCGCAATATTTACATAGCAGAAACCCACAGAGCAGGAAACGTGAGACTCAATGATGCACTAAATTAGGAACAATCATATTCTAGTGTTAATTTGCTTTCCACTCTATCCAAATTTCAGGTCCAGCAATCGGTGTAAATGCACATAAAACATTCCCATTTTTAATGATTAAGAACCACAATCCGCAAGCAGCTCTGCTCAAAAGTAAATCTACTCACTGCTAGGGACGTTTGCAGGATCAACCACCCAAAAGTGAAGCAGTTTTAGCAACACAGAGATTTTCTGAAAACTGAATCTTCCTCATCTGTTTATCCCTTTCCATCAATTATGCCTGCACAAGCTGTTGGATTCTTCTGCCCGGCTACCTGCCTTTTGCTGGCAAATATTTTCTTTTGGTGGTGCGACTCAGAAGCAGTTTTAATACACCAGTGCTGCAGATATCTATGCGCGTACTCAGAAGGCTCTGTGCTCAAAGAATTAAAGTTAACACGGGGAGAGAAAAAGACAGCCAGATTATTTGTAAACACACTGGTGCCACATTTATGATAAATACACACTCTACAGTCTCGATGCAGATACAGATTTCAAAAGCGTGACTCTCGAATGCAGCATGCTTTGTAAGATGAATGCAAACAGCTACGACCAATCTCTCTAAATTTTAAACATTATTTAAATCTACTTTCCACAACATCATATAACAAAATATTTACCTTTCCTAAACGCTGATGTTCTTCAAAAGCAGAAATCAGTTCTTGTGCCCACTTTATTTTTTCAGGGCTGGGAGAGAACTGTTCCTGGACAACAGCAATTTGGTTAGGGTGAATCACCTGCTTACCTACAAAGAAGATTAATAACACCAGAATCATGCATCGACAAACAGATGTTCAAGCAAAATGTTCCAACCACTTGAGGCTCTCCTATGCCTCGCAGACTTTCTGCTACTGAACTAATTATTTTACTTGTTTTCTTTTATTATTTAACTGGACTATGTGCCAGATTTTTAACAATAAAAATATCTGGCGCAATACTTGCATTTAGTATGTTTGTAGGAACCCAGAATTCTTTCTCCTCCCTCCTCATTTCAGTCCATACATCTTCCATGGGTCATCTCAGGTAGAACTGGGGAAGTCAGCAGTGCTAGAGTACAATGCAACTCTGAATTTTACCTTTATAAATGGCACTTCCAGTCACTCGTAAATAAATTGCATTAAAACGTGTTCAGAAAATGAGGTTTATCGAACTGAAAAGTTTCCGGCCATGCAGGGATCGTTCCCTCAATTCTTAGCATTGGCTCTGCATCACGCGATGCTTAGGGCTGCTTATGTTTTTGTTGTGGTTCGCAGGTGCAGGTAGGCTGGGGTATTTATTTAGCTACTGGTATATTAAACCGCTGCCAGAGGTGCCCCGAAGTGTTCCGAGGCACTTTTTATTAATCCTTTCTTGTATGAACATACAGTAGGAAAATAAAAATAGGTGTAGCCTTTTTTTTTTTTTTTTTTAACCAGAGATTTTCCAATGTGAATAGACAGCCACATAATCCGTTCTAATCTGTTATTGTACTTAGCCACATTAAAACAAATACATATCTAATTTGTTTGACAGTTTTCAAAGTGTGGCACTCGACATTATTAGCCCGTTTCTAAGGGAATTTCACAGGCAGCGTGATGGCTGCACGATCCCCCGTGCCGTGCTGTGGGAGCGTTTCAATAAAGCGGGGCTACTGCAGCTCCCGGCTCCTCAAACCTCGCCGTGACACAAATTAATCCCTCTATGCCACACGGCAGAGCGGGTCGCAGCCACGAGCCCCATCCCCAAGCCTTTCACACCTCCCAGCCCTACAGCGGGGCACCTCGGGCTAGGCCGAGGGCCTGAGGCCGCTGCTGTGCCCCATGTTGGGCCCACGGCTCCTCCAGGCCTCGTGCGGTGCCCAGGGACCCCTGGGGTCCTCAGGAAGCTCTGGGGTGCGGTTCTGGGGTGACACTGGCACTGTAGGCATCTGCCCACGGCATGTGGCCTGGCCTGGGGAAAGAACGGGACCCTTCCATTGGGCTCCTGGATGTGAAGCTAGAAATAAGCTCATCGCTACATGCAATAGATCCCATATCACAGCACATGTGTGCCACTGTTTTAAACAGCAGAATGGAGAAAAGATTCCCGTCACCGGGATTCCTTGTGTCAGCCTGCAATGGCTCTCTGATAAATGTGTGCCATGAAAGGATTGTGAGTGCTTTCTTTTGATAGAAAGCAATTGTAACTCTTCAGTGTTGCCGCGTTTCTTTAAAATCCACAAGTCGTTCCATTTTATTTTAGTACCCATTAAACAGTTGCTAGTTTAAGATCTTGAGGGCGGCCAAATATTCTGTCTCAAATTTTAATATGGCAAATACTTCACAATAATCTAATTTTTTTTTTTAAAGAAAGAAATTATGGGCAGACAAATTCCTTGAGCTAATGCTTTACATTCATTCTAACCAAATGTATTTTAGTCACTTTAATTAAATGTCACTACTGATAAGCTCATGATGCTCCTTGTTTTCTATATGATGCATTCTAAACTAATTCTAAAGAGGGAGAGTGTACAAGTAATTCCTGCAAAATGCTGAAAACCTAACTTTCTGTAAGAAATAACAGATTTTAATTTGTACTTAAAATCACAACAAAAATAAAAACACACGTATGATTTTTTAAGGTGTGAAACATTTCTGTAAAAAGATTTTCTTTTGATACAAATATCCATAGCAGGAAGCTGTACTTTGCTTCATTAAAACATTGTCAAACAATTTATGGAGAAGAAAATCGAACCTGTGATTTATAGCACTCAGTGGATTTTTGTCACAGAATTATGTATCCAAATAACTGCATAATAGATGTAATGCTATGCAGGAATGAAGCAAATATTTTAAGTGGAATTGTTGTTATTGACAAGTTACCGAGAGAGTGCAAAATTGGAATACATTAAAATTTATGACCATGAAATCCTTTTTACAGTACCTCTTGATATATCGTGCTTTAAATCAATACCTGTCAAGTCTTTTAGGTAACTGTATGATGGTGTCATTTTAGCCTTCTACAAAAGACTACAAAAAGAGAGGAAACCTATAGTGTTTCGTATTTATATCTGGCTTCTCAGCATGGAGCACAGGACTTTCTATAATGACTAAGTCGGCTGTTAAAGCTTATCGTAGGTCTTCCTTAATTTTTTACATAAACTTTCCTAAAACTGATGACCATTTACATAGGCTGCATGCTGGCTTTAAGTCCACAGACTCCGGCATTGTAAAACATCCTGTTGTATGTGCATGTGTGTGTGTATACATATATATTAATAAATACACAAAAGATGTGTTACACTGGCTAAACTACAATTGAAAGCAATCAATTTTATGGAAACACAGTGGCTGAAGAAAAACCAGGCTGTTTGAAAGCTAGCTGGAAAAAAACTTGGCACTGAGGGTCACAGCAGTAACCAAATAGATGGTAAATTCTTTGCTATATTATTTAACTTGTTACATTGTCAGTGAACACACATGATTACTTTAAGGATAATTCTGTTCTACTTTTTTTCTGAATACAAGAAAATGTAAGGACATGTAACTTTGCTGAATACATGGAGTTTATGATTATGTTTGAGAGAGGTGAATGTGGCCCTACGCGTGCACACGTTTTGCCAGTTACCAGGCAATTGGCGAGCTTTCCCTCATTTTAGTCCTGTTGGTTCCAGTGATTTAGATTACATGTGAAAAAGTAGGAAGATGTGATCGCAAATAGTTAGAAATAACAAGAATCATGTGTTTGGAACTTGTTATTAAGGCAGTGCTTCAGGATTTTATTATCGCATTATCCGACAACTGCCAGTGACAAATGTGATGTATTTTATAGAAGGCCATGGATTAAGCTAGGGCCCATTTGTAAATTTCTGTGATGAAAATTAAATTGCAAATATTAAAATGTTTTTATTTTTATAGTTTTTGAATCAAATGTTTTTCCTTTTAGTTTGGAACTGACATTTTAATTTAGCTAAACTAAGCAAAAAACAAAGATTAAGTGAACTGCAAGCAAAAGAAAGAAAAAAGACAAGGGAAATGCAAAAAAAAGAAAAAACACAAGGGAAATATTTTTGATAGTCCTCAAATATTTTTTCTTTACCAAAAATAAGAAAAAGTCTGTTTTGTTTTGAACTTTTTTTTTTTCTTTAAGAATTTTGGCCAGAAAATCAGAATACTGACCCATCTTTGTTTATGATGGGAGTGTTTGTCAGGCTGCTTGCTGCACTTCTGAGATGTGGTGATCAGAACTGCAGAGAGGCAGAAGGCAAAGGGCTGTGAGTTTCTGTTAGTGAAGCTGGTACCTTACACACAGCTTTATTTATGGGTGCGTTAGATACAAACTTGATGCTCTAAATTGTCACACATGACCTTTTTATTTGTATCCTATCTGGACCCTATTCTCATGTGAGAAAACTTCCTACAGAAAGTCAGAGGAGTCCAAAACCTCATCAATGCTGTTTATGCTTTGCGATTTAAAATTTTCCAAAGTGGCAGCCTGAGCAAAGTATTTAAAAGCACATTAAGCATTCAGAAAGATTGCTCTCAAAGGTGCTGGGCATCTGCAGCTCCATCTTCTGTCAACAGGAGGTTCAGATACTTAAATTTTTTCAAAAATCAAGCCCTTCCCTAAACTAGAAAAGATTGGTCTCGATTACGTAGCCATCAGCAGGTGCTACCATTCAGGAGCTCCATTATTTTCCCACTTCAATAGCGGACGAATTGAGGGTGGAAGTCCACACGGACACAGATAATGTTGTGTAGCTGTGAGGAGCTCCCTGCTCTGCCTCTGAAATGAGATCTGCTTTTGCAACTGCAGAAGCTCAGCAGACGGGGAAGGAGAGTTTGGGCTGAAGGGAATCGATGTCTTTTCTTTTTTTTACTATCGAGTCCAGATCACTTAAAAGAACACTTTTAAAAGAACACTCGCTGTATTTGGTTACTTTGCTTAGTGCTTTAAGATGTCGTATGCCATTAACTGTAAAAATACAGTGTGCTAAACCACTTCCTTTGCTAACAAAACCTGAGCAGCTAAACGATTGCTGTGCATACAGCCTGAACGACGGTCACAGACGAATAATGTAAAACGTCAGTGCTGAATCCTAGAATTCTATAACGCCTGTGTCAAATGGCTGATTTCTATTGCAAAAACACAATCTTTGGTGGCTGCACTGTCCCACCAGGGTGTCCAAGTGATCTGGTACACCAATCACAGGGTAACAGGCTGCATTACAGGGCTCTGTTGCAAGGAGCCTGCTGGTCTTGCTGTCTGCCAATACCCGTAGGTGTCACCAGCACTTACTGGGAGGGGAGCCAGGAGATGAAAAACAAATCAAAGAAAATAATAAAAAAAGAACTTTCCTGTAGCAATTAGCGTGCAAGGTTTGCTTATCAACTCCCTCACCTAGCAAGTGCTTTTTAAGCAACTGCTGCTTAAAAAATATGCAGAAGGGATCTGAATATCTTTAAAAAGCGACTGTGGATTGACCATTGCAAAGTACAGTATTGCTTGTCCCATACTCTGTGACTGGAGGAATCACATCCTGCACACTCTCTGCCCCAACCTCTCTTCAAAATACAGCTTCAAGGGGTGTAGTTCTAAAAAGCAGCCTGAGACTTTTCAGGCAAAATTTCCAGGCACAACTGTAAAGGTGCTAATTAATGCACATGAGCTTGGTGTCACTTAGTTTTTAAAAAACTGACCTGTAATAAGATAGTGAGTTATTTGTCAAAGTAACGATAAATGTAGCAATATCTTGAAATTGAAGAATATAGGCATAATTTTCAGACATTGGCAGAAACCCATACCAGTGAAGCCCATCGAGGCACCTTCCCTTGATTGCCTGCGGAGCCCATCTTCATCTCGGAAATCAATGTAAACCAGGTCTATTGCTTGGAGGCCAAATGCCTTTGCTGTGACTATTATTTTCTGCCTGGCGTATAAAATATCGTGAGTTTCCTTATTGCTTGTTGCACCTATGAAAAGAAAGAAAACAAAGAAAAGATGACAGGAGTGCCTTAAATCTTTCTCTCTTAAATCTTTTGTAAGTAAAAAGAAAGGAAGAAAGGAAGAAAGGAAGAAAGAAAATCAGTTAAATTTCATTTAACTGATTTGGGAAACAAAGTGGATCACAAGGCTGTACTGTAAAACTGATACTCCTGGGAAAAAATAAGCTGCTTAAGCAAAAGGAATAGACCTCTCTTTATAGAGTCACCTATAAAATTCAGATTTTGACTCAGTTCAAATCTGAAGTTGTAAGCATGAAGTCGATGGAAGTTCTGGCTGATAAGGACAACAGAGTTGGGACTAACGTGCAGTAATTACCTTATTGTATTATAATATGTGCAGCAAGAAGCACTAAAGCAAGGGAAGCTTTATGCAGTGTGACACACCGGCTACAACTAAATGGTTAAAAAATTCACACTGAGAGCAGAATTGCACTTTCCTTGGTTGTGATTCTTGTCACAACGGATGTCCTAAGCTGAATATTTAAGCTTTAGTATTTGGATGAAAAATGATGGTAGATGACTGAGAGGAACCAAAAGTATTCACAAGACTTGACGTGTTCACAGTGCACCAGCTAAGCAGCATTCTCATGTGAAGGCTGGTGCAAAAAAATAATAATACATTCCTTTCCTGAGGGTCACTGTTTAGATGCAGATTTCCAATTTGTTAGGAATAATTTAATAAATCAATGCTAATTTTTATATTAAAATTTATTTTTAATTTAAACGTCAACAGCTGTGAAGTAATATCTTTAAACCAAATCAGACTAATGAGGAGATAAGTGGCTTCTCATAAAAAAATTCAGAACTACTTTTCATTTTCAAGGAAGATTAATAGTGTTTTTACAGGAAAATATGCTAGAGATTACTGTACTGACACGGGGCATATTTAAAACAAATTTATTATAGCAAAATATGACATGAGAGTATTTGCAGATGATGTCAAAATCCCGAGTGATAACTGACTCTAGATCAGAGATAAAGTAGACAGCAGAATTTTAAGATTTTTAACATAGTTCTTAAAAGCATGTGCATGTTTCTTAAGGGTACGGTATTTTTAAATAATTTCAGTGACTCAACGGTTTGCCTTGATTTTTTATTTTGTGCATTTTTGCTACTGCATGGCAGAAAGCAAGAGGAAGTGTCAGTGCCCTGTAATACACAGGAACCACATTTTAATTTCTCAGTGATACATTCCACATTGAAAAAAAAACCCAAAAAACGGAGAAAAGGGAATATGTAAAATGCAGAATCAAGAGTTTTTATTACATTAATTATCGCTGTCGGTAATGCAGTGGAGATAAACTGGGTTTCTCCCATGCAAATGCCATTAACCATTATAGAAAAGAGACAGGTAACAACCTATGCTGGCACGAAAATCCTCTCCTCCAAAGACGACTGCATCCAAATGAAAGCCAACCTGGGATCCTGTTCTCAATGCTTCTTCACAAACAGCCTACAAATGGGAGCATATTGTTAATTTGTAGAGAAACGCAGGAAGCAGAGAGACTAAGAGGATATTACATCAACTCAGTATTACCAAAACCTGGTGATCCTTTGGCTAAAATTGCTCCTATTAAGCAAAACCATGGTAGGTACTCAAGTGTGCACAATGCTTTAAAATGACTCAGCAGAATAGAAAACATTATCTTGCCCTGAGCACCTATATGCCTCCGGTGTGGAGATGCAGGACATCACAACAGCTTCGCTGCCTCTTGGCTGGAGCTTACCATAATGACCTTGCAATTGCTGCCTCGGATACTCAGGAGGCAATAAGGAATGAAACACCCCTCAAAGGCTGCTTAAAAGCAACCAAAAATTATTATGCTTGATCACTTTGATATGTAGCAGCACTGCCCGAGAAAAAGAAAGATTGGGATCCTGGTTATAAAATTAACAATTTCAATGGTTTAAAATGGTTGTGGATTCTTTATCGGATAAATTGTCAATTTAAAGGCTTGTGCTACATCTAACTAAAAAGTAGCTAAGGAAGTTAAAAATGCAACAAGTATCACAGAAAAGTATTAAAGTGAAAGCAAGCAGAATTTTGCTACCGTACCTATATATAAGGAAGTACATTTCCAGACTGTTTTATATTGACCTTTGTAATATTAATATTTGTTAAGGACTAGGTATGCAGAGAGGGAGAGAAGTAATTACAAACTCTGCTAGTGGGTGTTCTTACATGGCCGCTGGTGGGACACAAAATTATTATTAAGCTGAATGCTTTAAAAGGCAACTCTGCTGCCAACATCAAGGGCCGCAGCATTAAACTCCCCCCCCCCCCCACCCCCTTATAAAATACTGCAGGCGAATAAAAACCTCAGCCAGTTGCAAATGCAAGTTAGTTCTGTGTCCGCGCCCTGAAACGGGAGCACGCTGCCTGGTGATGTTATGACGTGCAGGGAGGTATGTGGCTGCAACAGGCGGAGGCTGCCGGCAGCTCCTGAGCTGTTCCTGCCCTGCGTGCCCTCAGCTGGCCCCAAGCCTTCCCCATCCATTTTGGGGGAGCCCCATGAGTGCCTCCTCCTTGTGCTGCCTCTCCTTGCTGAAAACCTGTGCACATGAGAGGTGGTGGTGGGGGGACCTATATTACGAAGCACTTTAAATGTAAGGCTTGGTTGAAATCACCCTTCAGATATTTGATATTTTTAAAGTTAATTGTACTTTTAATCTTAGCATTAAATTCCCTGTTGTACGCATGAAAAAAAAAAAAAAAAAAAAAAACTGCAACGTGAAATCTGGCTGAAACTGTGTCAGTAGAAAATTATACCGCTTTAGCAGCAATGAAATGAGGATTGTTCTTTTTTCTAATTAAATGCTATATCAAAGTCAAGCTCGACAGCTACTAAATAGTCGTTTATCGCAGCAGCGTGTGTGCTCCAGATCCTCAGAGAAGCAAGTTTCCTGTTAGAAACGCGGGTAGGAATGCAGATGGGTTTCCTCAGTTGGCAAGGAGTATCTAGAGCTGTTCCTCCACCAAAATATTTTGGATTTATGAAGGCCTTTGCCGTATAAACACGAGAGTTAGGCATCCAAATGCTTTAGCGGACTGAAAAACATGTTTACCATTTTATAGCCTCTCTTCCTTGAGGAAATCATGCCGGGACAACGGAGCTCTCTGCTTATCCAGGTGGCTGAGAGGGCAAAACACCAACGCTTGGACCGCACCCAAACCTACTTACCTTAAAATTGAGCAACCCCACCGCGGTTTCCACAAATGGGATAAAATGCATTGGTTCTGCAAGCGTTCGGCCTTTCGAGTGATGTGCGAATTTGTCTGCAAACTAAAACCAGACAACGTGAGGCTTCGGCAAAAAAAGCACACGCGGGCACGTGCAGCACTTTAAATCTTTCACCTGGCCGCAACGCCGGCGCACGAAAAGCCCCCAAACTCAGAAGACGTAATTAAAAACCGCAGAGAGCGTTGGGGAAGGTCTGTGCCGAGGCGTGGGCTTTGCACCTCGTGTCCCCGGGCCTGCTGGTGGGGCACAGCCTGCCCCAGCCATGGGGCACACACAGTGCTGCCCTGCCTGCCTCGGGTCGGGCACCGCACCGCCGCTGAGGCATCTGCATGGCTCGTTACGGCACCGCTGCCCTTTGTTCGCCAGGCTTTTCTTCATAATTTTTAGCTTACCTAGGAAGGCCTCAAAAAGGAAGTTTAATTCTTTGAAGACCAAAGCTTTCCAATTTTTTCCATGAGACCAGTTCACAGCTAGCTCTGAGCTGCCAGTGGGGTAGCCCAAATTCCAAAATCTATCATCTGGAAACATACAAAAGCTCTCGCACAGATTTTTCCCTTTTCAAAAGGGGGAAAAAAAAGGGGGGAAAAGAAACCCTCGGTCCTATATTGTAAATCTATTATGTCGGTCTAGATCTGGCAGTTTGCGCGGAGATAAACATACTGCAGGTATGGCAAAAATATCGTAATAAATAAAGACAAAAATAACATATGCATATATTTTAAATTTAAGGAATATTCGACTATTAATGGATATCAAAGGAAAGGGAATTTTAATCATCTCTCCATTCAGTCTCAGTTGGGTAAATCATATCTAAGAGATTTGCATAAATATAAACCATCAAAGACTTTTCATCTTCAAAGGGGGTTTCAAGACCCTATAAGCTTTGTACTGTAATCATCGCAGGTCACAACCCTGCAGGAATAAGGCTGCTATGGCAACATAAAAAACTAATGCTTAAGGCTTAGCATAATATTCTGACTAATAGAAAGGAAACTCATTTTAAAAGCTGGCAGCCTATTTACCAGAAGCTGGATTAGAGGTGTTATTTCCCCTTTTAGCTTCCCCCCACTGCCCCTCCCCAAAAGAAGGAAAATCTAATCACCGAGATCTTTAAAAAGCTTTCGAGCAATTTGCAGTAACTTTACAATTAGGCCAAAATAAATCACAGCTTTCTCTGACAAAGAATTCTGCCCTTCCCGTCCCTGCTTTGCATCACCAGCGGGGCCCTCTCCACAACTTTTCCTTGGAGAAGGGACTTCCACCCAAAAATGTGCCAGCAAGAAAACACGAGTGCAATTCACACGTGCAAGCGTACGGCTGGGCAGGTACTGTGGCAGCACAACACGTAAACTGTGCAGGCAAGCACAGAAAATGAGGTAATCAAACCGCATCAGCGTATGCTCTTAAGGCTCCCAGCCAGATAAAAAAAAAAAAAAAAAAAAAAAGAAAAGGAAAGTGCTACTGCGTTTAGATTTCAGGTGCAAGTTAAAGCTGCGGAACTCTTATTTTAAAATATTTTAGAAGTCACTCTCTGGGATTTTTGACAGCTTGTGGTTTGTTGGCAGGTAAATGAAAAATAAAGAAGGTTTAATTAAACGGCGTCTCCCTTCCTCTCCCTTTAAAAAATTTGCAATAAGCACCGCTACAAAAGGTAACTAGTGGAGAAGTTTCAATTAATTTTTTTCAAAAGGAGACGATTAAATGTTTCCGGCCTGGTAAAGTGTTCATTTCAGGGAGAAGGGGGGAAAGGAGAAGGCGGAGGGAAGAAAACAAAGCTCGGGGAGGGGATGAAGTAGCAGGCCCCCGCAATTCTTTCAGTTCCCGTGCACACCCAATAGTGTGTTGGAAAGAATGCACACTGTTCGGGATTTGTGGGAGAATTGTCCCGCCACAAAGGAGGGAGAGTTACGCTTGTTATAGTCCAATAAGCCATGCCAGTCAAACAAGTACCCACACTAGGGACAAAAGGAGAGCAAGAGATTCTCACACAAAAGAAAACAAGTAAGCCCATCTTTTAGTTGTGCATCAGCCTCCAGGTTTTATGCTCCGCATAAATAAAAATGAGGGGGGAAAAATAAACAGCTTCTCTTAGGCTGGGAGCCTGGAAAAGGAGCGGGCAGGAGTGAAGCCGCAGGATTTCTGAAACGCGCCGGCATCATTCAGCAGAGCACGCTCTTTGTGCTCCTGGGCTCGGCCGGGCGCGAGCCGGTGGCCACGGCAGCAGGCCTGAGGAGAGGTGGAAGGGATAAGGAGCAGAGGGACCTAAGCCTCACCCCTGCCCAGAGCCCGCCTCGTGGCTACGAAGGCCCGCCATTTTGGCAGCATGAATGTTCACGTGTGATGAGCTGTGCCCAGAGCTCACAGAGATGCTCGAGGCACACAGCCTCTGTTGCGGCAACCAAATGTTGTGGCCCATTCGCTGCTGTGTGGGGCTGGGCGCGGGATGGATGCGCTTGCTCAGGGTGCCCTTGCATGTCGTCGGCAGCATGTGATGGAGGCTCAGGACCACAGTTGGCACAAGGGCACCTCCCAGCCTCCCAGCGCAGCCGGCCTGCTGGCTCTGCCACAACGCCAGCCCGACGCACGGAACGGCTGCTCCTGCACTGGCACCGTGCAGCAGTCACGGCTTACCCAAACAAATGTCCCCCTTCTTGACAATTAAAACAATTATAGCGTAATTAGGCCTATTTCAAAGTTTTCTTAAGTAATCTGACATGCCAGCCATTTACATTTCAGGTTTTTATTGGCTGAAAAGTCAGTCATGAAACACAAACACACCTGTCAGCAATTAAAAAGGAAGAAATAGAGAACTGCTCAGGAAATAATATCTGTGCTAATTAAAAACAGTAGTTAAAAGCTTCCTGTTTGTTCCTCCATTTGCCCCCAGGAGTGACCTTCCCCCCCCCCGGCGTACTTTTCACATGTTGCTAGCATGCTTTCCCCAGCTCCCTCTTACTGGGCATGCGACTATGGCACATGGCCACAGACAAGCATTTCAGTGGCACAATATTTAAATAAGAGTCAGACACCAATGCAGCTAATTTTCAAAATATGCTCTGACTCTTCACTGACTATAGGAGAAATAAATCCAGTATTCTTTACAAAGGCTATTCACTCCACATATGCTTTTCATGTAGCACATTGTATGCACATTTAAACAGAAGCATTTCCCAATTACCTTACTCAAGCAACAACAGGACATGGCACTCATGTCACATCAGAGTCCTTTGCCTCTACACCTGGCTTAATTTGACCCAGCAGCTTCAGTCAAAAGCTACCACATTGTTGGTACACAGATAGCTACTCACCCATTTAACTTCTTCCACGCTTTCAACCTTTGGCAGCATCAGACTTGAAGGAAGAGTCTTGGACTGCAAAAGCACCTCTAGATCTTCCTCTGCAAGGCCACTGGACACGGAGTTTATCCTAACACACTTCTCAGCATGGCCGATGTCAAACTCTTCAAGCGTTTTCACAACTGTCAGCCTTGCTTCTCTCTACAATATATATATATACATGTATACATGCATTCAATGCCACAGAGAAAGAGAAGAAGAAAGCTTATTTTCTACTGACATTTTTAAAAGCTGAACAGAAAACTCACAGAAATGACATGGGGAAAAAGCTAGACAGACAGTGTATTTTTGTCCCCAACAAGTCCGTCACTCCTGGTTCTTTGTTAAAGTCATCAGTCATCAGCAGTCATCAGCAGCACCTTGCAATTCTGCCTTACTCAGTTCTTTGTAACTAGCAAATAAAAGCTCAGTTCATGCCTAAATATTTTTCAACAACCACTTATGGAAAGCATCCATCTCTATTATAATTACTAAATACATCTAACAAATGTGAATCTGTTCACTAACTATAATATATTACAGTAAGTCTACGCTCACAACAGTGGAGCGTTAATACCTTTGCTTAAAACAATTCATTTTTGTAATTCATCGCCATGTTGACTGTGCTCAAATATCAGGGGTATCAATAAGTACAGATGTACATCTCTTTCTTTGGTTCTGCTATGTAAATCTTCCTTTTCTCCATGTATAAAAAGTATATTAAGGCTCATAGCAGAGTTCAGAACTTGCCTTTGAAAACATTGCCACAATAATTTGTAGATTTTCATGAACCATGTAAAAAGATACTCTCCTGCGGGCACTAAATAAAATATCCAAATACACTTGCTTCTTGTGGCCACTCGCTATTTTTGTGAATGTAAATTCATAAACCTGCTGAATATTTGATATACATGAAGAATACTTGGATGCTTTTCTGAGATGCAGTGCTTTTATTGGCCTTAAGGAGAAGAGGGGCAGTGGCAGAAGAGCACTGGTGGTCTCCCTCACTTTCTGCCCATTTCAGCTTTGGTGGCAAATTCCTCCCATTTGCCAACAGCCCCTAAAAAATCCTCATTGTCAGAATGAAGGCTTATCAAAAGTAATTTCATTTGTGAAGAGTTTTTATGGTCCTAATAAAACTTTAAAGCTCCTGACTTGCAAATGTAAAGAAACAACTTTAACGCTATGCAGTTGCTGGAGAGATACTTTGCAAGAAAACAGGCAAACTTGAAGGAGAAGAAAATCATCAAAGCTAATATTCAGGCTAATACCAATCAGTGAGATGGCACATAGTAGTAGAGTTAAACCAGACGGCTACAAATCTGTGCCTGTGCAGGGGCCTCAAATGGAGACACAGTGCACACATGTATGCATCTCTGTGCCGCAATACAGGGTCACTCTCAGAAGTAGTCTCTGTAAGATCCAGCCCAAAAGCTATCATGAGCGGGCTCAAGAAATCTGTGCAAAGATGCAAGGAGTTCACTGCAGCCAAGGCCAGTTTGCCTGAATGTTGTGAAGCAGGCCGTGAGATGCTGCCCAGCACACACCCATCTCCCTGTCCTTCTCCAGGCGGGGTGGTTGGTGCCTGTTGGGCCAAAGGTTTCTGGACGTGATGCAGAGTGGTATCTGAAATGCATTCTCCAAAACAATTTATGCTTTTAATTAAAGCCAGATTATCACGTCTCAGCACACACTGATCCAATTTGCAAAATAAAGCTCTCCCAAAATTATCCACTAAGGCAGCATCCGATTCCAACTGAAGGCACATCTCTCGAAAACTTGTAGTCTAATTCATTACAATTTTTGCAGATTATAATAATGAGCAGTAGAGCATCTCATTAGCTATTTTTCTCCTCAGGCTGAAAACTCCCTTCCCAAAAAAGACAGATCGTGTCTTTCTAGGTATATTTCCATACAAAACACTTATTAACAGGCTGTTGCTGTTATCAATTTACATAAACTAAATGTGCAGCCCTCTGGTACATATCCCAAAAATAACTAACAACTTCACTGAATTTATACCAACCAACAAACATGGGGAGGGGGTTGTTGTTTTTTCCCATATTTTAATAGAAAATATGTTGCTATGTTAGTTAACACACCCATGCCATCTGTTGGGCTGAGAATCAATGCAGTTTCTTATAGCCACTACATTTTAGATCTGTCTGCCTAGATACCCCAGGAACAGAAACATCTCCCTTCCATGATAAACCTCTAGTCACTGTAGTTTCTGAATCAGGAACGGGCATTTTTATTCGTGGGACAGACTGATGGACCTGGTACAACAAGTCAGAGACCTCTTGAGGGGACTGACCCTGCGCCTGCCCTTCCTACAATAGGGAAAATCGCACTGATGTTAGTGGCCCTACTCGGGATTCCAGGAAAAAACATCATGGTTGAATTATAAAATCTACCAAAATCATTGGGCAACATGAACTAAAAGCATGGAGGAAAAGGAGATCCCCTTCTGCCTCATTATGCAGTGAAATGTAAATACAATTCTAATATGCACACAAAAGCTGAGATTTTAAGCTAGTTGATCTACTTCAATGATGTAACAGTAAAGAAAAAAAAGTACTTAATACAACATTTTTGTAGCAGTAGATGCAAGAATAAATGCATTTTCCAAAGTAAAGTCCTTGCCAAGATTGGTCAAGATAGAGTATGTCAACAACAGTGGAAGAAATTATTTACCTGTTCTTCACCCTACAGTATTGGACAACTCTCTGTCCTGAGCAGGTAAAGAAAAAACTTGGCCGTGAAACAGAGGTCCACCCTGGGACAGTGTGGTGCTCCATTAGGGCCCATAGGTTGAGTTCTTATCAAGGTGAACAAGGAAGGATGACAACTGAGAGAGTCTGTGGTAAACAGTGATATTAAATTACACTAATATTATCATATATTATATGCTGATATTATCAAAATATCCTAAATTGGCTACTTGTGCTGGAAAAAATATTGGTCAAGGTGGCTGTAGCTCCTTTTGTGTCTCTTCTGTCTGACTCAGAGGGGGACGAGGGGAGATTTCCATTCCTGCATGCAGCTACGCCAACTGGGGAGGATAAAGCCTTTGGTGATGCTGCATCGCAGATGAATCAACTGCCAACAGGACACACAGACACCGAAATTAAAGACGGGAATACGCAAGTAGCCGTCTCAATTGGCACCCATTAAAGCTAATCACTATCCATCCTCACGAGTTGCTAGCTCTGAATTATCAAATCTGCAAAGAAAACAACATCCGTCCACTTTTACACTCCAGTGGAAGAGGTGGTCCCTCGCGGCAGGGCTGCGCAGTCTCGCCATCTGGAGAATAAATCGAGTGTGAAGTACAGTATAGTTTGGGACCAAGCTCCGTGGCGGCAGCCCAGCAGCGAGTTCATTAGTTCCAAACTTGCAGGGATTAGTGTGGTGTCGGGGCAACTGTCGGGTGGGATCAGGCAGGCAGAGCACAAGACTCAGGGAGGGAGGTGGTGGCAGGGAAGGAGCCCCTGGGCTTGCTAATGGAACCAAGTACAAGCACACCTAAATGGGTGCCCTAAGTTACAGCATTAGCATCATCTCCTGGCATCTGAATCTGTACCTTTCCTTCTTTTTTTTTTTTTTTTTTCTGTTTCTTTAAGTTGTATGCCAACACACAGAGATCTCCATTATGAGACAGAAGGGATGGTACAGGAGTGGAAGCCCAGCCACCCACTCACCACGGACACACTGGTAATAAAGAAATAATGAAACGCAGGCACTGGAATTAACAGAATACTGGGGACAGAAACAGCAGAGAAAAATTACATTTTCTTCTTTCTTTTCAAACTGATACAACACCCCATAGACCGGTTTTCCAGCACTGTGATTCCCAGAACTGCATGATCTAGGGAGAAGTGGGAAGGAGCATACACACACATCTTATTACTCTTGAGTTGTATCTGTTTTGCTCCATGTTTCTTGCACGTTCTTACACTTCAGTTTCTCAAGACCTTCAGGTCTTAACACAAAGACAGTGGGTATACCTAAAGGCCTGTGTATGTAGAGCTCTTGTCCTGTTAACATCCTTCTGCAATTATTCTTCATATAGAAACATAAATACACAATGCAAGAAAATGGCAGTCCAGAATATATCCTCCTCGCAGCCATAATGAGTTTGTGTGTCTCAAATGGCAGACGAAAAATTAATTACTATAATCACAATTCAAGTTATTTTTTGTGACAGGCCTGACATGATAAAAACATACAATTATGTGTTAATGTTACTTCCCTGGAGTGGTTTGTTTACAGAGCTTGACATTGCGGAATCTTTTGTCACTTATATTAGTGCATACCCTAAAAATGCAACACTCAAACATGGTTCTGCAGAAGTGCATGTTTGGATTTTTGGACAAAATTGCATTTTTGCAAAGAGAAAGCCTGACACTTTTTACATACTTAGTTTCCATCAATAAAGTGCTGCCATACAGAATGGCACATCATTTAGTTTCAAATTCTCAAATGAGTTTGGCAAGAGAAGGGAAAAAATGTGTTCATTTTTAAGAAAACAAAGAAAACTGTAACTGCAGAACAGAACATTGCTGAGCATGGGAGGTCCTTGCTTCATACCTGTTTTCTACTTTATATGCTTAAGTTGTTTGTGAGATGGCAATTATTTTTTTTCTAGCTAGCCTTGTTAGACTGGAAAACTGCTGCAAAAAATATGTTTATTGCAAAGCTTTCAGGAAGCCTCTATTGAATCAGGTCTTATGATTACCTTCTAGATCAGATTATAATTTGAGAAGTTTTTAAAGATTTATTAAGTTTTAAAACACATTTTCTTTTGTTTCAACAGGGAACATGACAAAGCCAACATGTAATCGTAAAGGAAAGAAGGGACAGGAGTGGGGAGGGAGAAAAAGGCCTCCATGTGTATGCCTGTATTTCCCCCCTGCACTTTAGGCAAACGTGCATTTAAGTACTCTGCAAGAGTCTGATTTTTCTGCTAGTCTCTTGTAAAATCTTTGAAATCTTTCTTTAAGAATTATTTGGTCTACACAAGTCCTTTATTTTTTATACAATCCTTTTCACTCTTCTGAACAAGAGATTCATCGTAACATAATGAGTCATCTAACTCGGTGCATCTCTAGCATCTGCTGCTTTTCTCTCTGCTCTGCTAATTGTCTTTACATGTAGTACAT